ACGGGTGGCATCAGTCTTCCTTGCTGGATTTACGCTTGTATCGTAGACTAATGAGTGAAACTTGACAGTTCTCCTTCTTTTTGCAGCTTATATTGACAACAAAACAGTGCGAAGAATTACATTTCGGATAACTTCTGAGGGTGTGGGTGGATGTGGGCACCTCTTCATCCACACCCATATCCACAATCATAGCCACACCCATCCACACTCACGCCCACAAGATAGTTTCTAACTATATCTTCTATTTCTCTACAATTTTTTCTTTCTTTTTCCCGTTAAAATATAGTAAGGATGATCAGGCTCTTTTCAACATTTCGATGTCCTGTAATCGGTTACATATGGCCGACCGCCAAGAATTTTCTGCTGTTCTATCATTTCCAGCACCTAAAAATCCCTTAGGAAGTATAAAATTCGAAAAACCGGAGGTGGCCAGTAAAGTGTACTTATACCTCGGATTTTTAATGCGTGGAAATATGATTTAAGATATTAAAAGTTAAGATGTTTCTTATAAATATCCGAGTCTGATTTATCCATGAAGTTCTGGGTGTGGGCGTGTGTGGGTATGGGTGGGTGTGGGGGTGTGGGTGTGGGTGTGGATGTGGGGGTGCAGGTATGGGGTGTGGGTGTGGGTGTGGGTATGGGTATGGGTACAGGTGTGGGGTGTGGGTGTGGGTGCGGGTGTGGGTGTGGGTACAGGTGTGGGGTGTGGGTGTGGGTATAGGTGTGGGGTGTGAGTGTGGGTATAGATGTGGGGTGTGGGTGTGGGGTATGGATATACTCTCGTTAGACACCCACACCCAAAAAAGAAAATTTCTTCAAGTTTTCTATACGAAAATAAGATAATGGCGCCACTACTTTTGGTATACCCTAAGTATCTGTCTATCTCAAATATAATAGTGACACAAATAATCTACATGGCCAGACGCTTGATCTTATTCATCGTGATATTAAGTCAACGAATATCCTTCTTAGAATGATTAAAGGTCAACCGTCTCAGGCGCGAATCGACGATTTTGACTCCATTCATCAATTTCCTATTTTCTTGAAAAGCACAATGGGTTACATGACACTCGAACTATTATCTGGGAAGACAACAGAGCAGAGTCAATTAATAGGGCAAAAGCAGATATCTATACTCTCAATGTCACCATTCAAGAGGTGTCCACGAGAATTTAAAGTTATCCTGTTTTACTTTTAGTCCCTTTAGTCCTTTTAGGGTGGGTGTGGGTGTCGGTGTCGGTGTAAGTTTCCTCATCATACCCACACGAACCCACGCCCACACATTCACACATTCACACCCCACGCCCCACACCCACACCCCGCATCCACCCACATCCACACACCCACACCCCACCCACACCTCACCCCACACACCCGCACCCCACCCACACCCACACACCCGCACCCCACTCACACCCACACACCTACACCCCACCCACACCCACACCCCTCCCCACACACCCACACCCCACACTCACACTAAAGTGACTAAAGGGACTAAAAGACCGAAAATCATTTATAAACAAGTAAAAGTTGATATAAAAAAGTAAAACAGGATAAACTTTATTTTTCGTGGACCTATGTGCAAACTCTCTCAATAACCGATCCTTATGTCAATATATTCTTGATGAGCGCGCACGTCTTCATTGTTAACGTTGAACTGACATTCAACGACCATTTATTCCGATGGTCGCAACTTTCACCAAGACTTCTTCTCATATCATAGACTATAACTGTTCAAGATATTTATGATTTGAACTTTTGAAAGATACATCAGAGTTTCAATATATTCATCAATGGTTGATGACCTTCGTTACTAATGAGTGGTAAAGACATAGGAAATTCACACAGTTGCTCAAAACTTATTGAGTAGTGTTTACTTGTGAATAGTTTTGAGTTGGAACACGATTGAAAGGACACTACTGGTAGAAGTTGATGAGATACATTCACCCTAAAATTTTTAGCTTAGTATAACTTGTCGAGGAGGAGTCATCATAAAAATACGTCTCCATTAAATTAATGTAAATATAGAACAAATTTTGTGTAGTATAATGTCTAAAGGGGTAATTGGTTTTTTAGAAGACATCTTAGAGTGTGGGTGTAGATTAGGAGAGTACCACGACAAGCATTGTTTCAGAATTGCTACGAATTCATCAGATGATATGTTAATATTATATCTACATAGAAATTTCGAAATAACAAGTAGCGTGTTGATCGTATGAGTCTCTCTTAACTCAATTCTGAAAGCCAACAATGAATGCATAGAAGATCAATTACCTTATTGCTAAATACATTCTTTAATTTGAGTGAAATAAAACTAGAGAATGCTCTCATTTGAATAGAGTTCTCGGTTTCTATTAAGATCGATTACCTTTCCGATAATTACTAATTCATCATTGCTCTGTATGTAAAGTGTATCTATTTACCTAGTGAAAAATGTCGGATCATATCAGATTATAATCTGATAATGTTTCGTCTGGTTACACCAGCATTCCGACATAGATCACCAGATTTTTTCATTAAAAGGGTGTGGATGTGGGTGTGTGGGTGTGGGGTGTGGGTATGGGTGGATGTGAGTGTGGGGTGTGGGGTGTGAGGTGTGAGGTGTAGGTGTGGAATGGAGTATGAATGTCTGAAGGTGTAAGCGAAGAAGACCCACACCCACACCCATACCCACACTCACACCCACATCTACGCCCACCCACATCCACACCCACACGCTAGTACGGGGTCTAGTCACCACCATACATGCAATATGGGTAGTAGTAGTTGTAGCAGTAGTGAGAATGATAAAGAAGATTGTTTTATAATTGTGGTAATCATTATATTGATATTCGCCATAATTGGAGTATTTGTTACAATAATCTTTGGTGTCAAAATGATTAGAAGCATAATAAAACGTCATACGGATAAATTATGGCTACAACAAGAAGTTAAAAAATATATTGTTAGAGATTTTCAAGAAAGAATGCATGAATTAAACGAGATTTCAATGCAACGCCGTATTATGTATTGATCACTACACTTGACATTAATATTAATACAAATTATAAATTCATGAATAAAATTTCAACTATGATATGGAATTACATTAAATAGAAAACAACTTATGGTGATTATAATCATGAGAATTTGTAAACTTACGTTAGCTTTTTAAACTCTAAAGTTAAATATTACTTATTTTAATGTATTATTTTTAACGTTTTCCGATTGAATTCATCGAATAAAATAGGAATTATTGAAATGTAAACATCAAAGTTCGGTTGACAAGAGTGTGTGGGATGTGCGTGTGGGGGACACCCACCCACACCCTCAGGAAGAAATCGATGCTCATGTACCTCATTCACTGAAACAAAGACGAATCATTATCAAGTGTCTCTGTAGTGTTGATTAACATGAATTTCGCTGACTGAAACTTTTAGTATGTGGTGGTTGGTGTCTGTTTCTTATCTAGTCATGCTCACATCCATCCCTGATTGGACTGTACTCTGTCTCAGATTTGTACACTTATGGGAGTTCATTTCGTCCGAAGAATGCCACAGATACTGGAAACCATAGTTGGGTATGAGAATGGCAGCTTTCGATGAACCTCAAACAGACGTTCTATTGATCATAATCTCTTAATGTATTTTGGTCAACCAAAACATTAGTTCTTGCTACAAAGTAAAATCACGTCCCTTTTTGTCAGTATCACAGAGTGACATATACAAGACTTTTGTCATCGTAAGTGTTACTGAGTGACCCACGTCACATCTTTCTCATTGTAATTATCGTTAGCCAGTACAGATTGTAAACAATCCTGGAAGTAGACAATAGATATATTGCTTTTATTTTTAATTGTCACTGTTCAATTTATGCAAAATGAAATCTTGAGATCTTCAACTATTAGTGTCACTGGCAATATGAAGAAAACCTCGTATATGTTTCAATTTTCAGGAAATGATTCAAATCTTATTCTTTAATTAGGAAATATTGAAATCGATTCAAAAAGCATACTTGTGTCGAACGTACACGTTACTTACACAGAGAAAAATCTGAACTTCTGCACAACAATCCATATAAATTTTACAGATCAAAAAAATTCCACTAGGGCAATTATATTGAATAAAATTTTTTATTATACGAATGTTAATTACTTGAAAGGCAGCAAATTCAGTAAATATGACTAAACTATTTTCAACAAACACTGATCAATAATCTCTGGTTGAAAAATGAAAAGAAACATTTCTTGTCAGATAAAACAAACATTTTTGATTAAAAATACAGTAGATGAAGACAAAACAAGAACATCATGATTCGTTCTTTTCTATATTAAATCTAATCAATAATATATTTATATTTGTAATAATATTTTCATGGACAAGAGTACCAGGACATATTGATCGGAGTTAATACAACAAGAGAATTTAAATGAATTGAATGTTCTCTATAAAGAGCATACATGGTAGACGTTTTTTTACCTCAGAGAACTTATTAAATGTCATTCTCTTTTTATCTGTTGTCTCAAATACTACGTAAAAGAGTAATTAGTATACTTTTAATAAAAAAAATGCATGCTTGAAATTCAATACTTTTGCACAATATCATATGCTTATTACAATATTGAATCCTAGCTATAAGCTCGTCCTTACATCAACAACATATATCCACTATAACTCAAACTAGCAAATACTAAAAGAGTAATTTCTTCGAAAGCACGCAATTACATACGTCGATTTCTTTATCGCTTACTCCATGTTTACTTACTTTCCTGCCCAAACACAAAAAACGTCAATAATGACACACGTTACTTTTGCGTCTACATGTATGTTGAAAAAATAATTTCTGACGCATACAAAACATATTCACTATGGAGATTGTATCTCGCTGTTTTTCATCTATGTGTCATTATGATTCATGCAGTGACACTTTCAGCACTATGTCTTCAACTTCTAACGTCATATATAAAAGAGTATATTCGTTTGTAAAACAGCAATCGGAAAAACAATCTAATTTCGAACATGACTGATTCTCAAGCATCTTCACATTGTCCATCACCAATGGAAACGTCTTCATCCGACATTATATTATCTGCAACTCACGATAATGAATTTATGCATATTTCTATACAACCTTCACAAAATGAGATTCGTTCTCCATGTGATATTTGTTGTGTTGTTGATACATCAGGTTCAATGTCAGATGCAGCAGAAATTCAAAATGATAAACATGAGCATTATGGACTATCTCAGTTAGATTTGGTTAAACATGCACTTAAAACAATTATAAATTCTCTTCAAGATCAAGATCGACTATCACTTATTTCATTTTCTGATAAAGCTAAAACCTTATTTAAATTAACAGCAATGGATGAAGCTGGAAAAACAAAAGCTTTAAACGAAGTTGAAAAATTACGGGTTCGTATAGGATTAAAGCATTGATAGAAGTCATGAGTATCAGTTCATGCATCACATGACATTCTTTCGTTTAGCAACACTGCTAGAAAGCTCGAATTTTCTCATTTATAAATCTAATTAAATCAGATGAACAAGGATTCAAAAAACTGATCAATGTCTTAATGTATGCCCAATATATACGGATACCACATTATGTTGTTTCGATTGTAATCAAGATTAAAGTTAATTATTAGATCATAAAATTAGATCCTATCAACGGATTTTCTGTAATTTAATTGAGTTTGCTTCGAGAAAATCCATGTTTCATGCATGTAAACTGTTCGACTTACATATTCATAATCTTTAAGGATAAAGTACTTTTCAATTGATTTTAAATATGTATTTAGAGTGATGGATCCACAAACTTATGGGATGGTCTTCGAACTGGTCTTGAACTTCTAGCTAAACAACAAGATTCTATTCGAAGTATTTCAGCTTTGTTTCTTCTCACTGATGGTTGTCCTACGGAAATACCCGAAGGTGGTCATCTAGAATCATTAGAAAAACTTAAGAAAAAAATTAATTTCACTTGTACTATTAATACATTTGGCTTCGGATATCAGTTGGATAGTAAATTACTTGAAGATATTTCCATATTAGGTAATGCTGGTTCATATGCATTTATTCCTGATGGAGGATTCGTTGGAACAATCTTTGTTAATGCTATTTCGACATTATTAACAACAACAGCAACTAATGTACAGGTAATGATTCTCTTCAAAGTTTATTTGAATTTTATTCGATAAAATAAGTAAACTACAAGTACCACTAAAATTCTTCTGCTTTTGATTACTGATTTTCTTTTATTTATTAATATTTAATACATGATAGTCTTCTTTTATAGTTCTTGATTCATGATGTACATATTGAAGACTCTGATTACACTCGTTGGTACTCGATAAGTAAAAATAAACAAGGTACTTTATTCGATTTGGGTTCTATTACATATGGTCAAAGCAAAGATTTACTTATTCCATATTCTCATCAACTGTCGACTCAATGTAACTTCACTTTGACATATAACAATGCACGAAACATTAAGAAAACTATTGAATTTCAAGTGTCGAACAATCTTCAACAGGCTAATCCAAATCTAATCCGTCAACAGAAATTTCGTTTACAATTTGTTCATTCAGTACGGACAGCATTAGAACACATGCGTCAAATAAAAACAAACGTAACAGAAGACAAACAGGAACATGAAGAAGCAATCAACCAAATTGAAAAATTAGAAAACGATATGAAGAGTTATGCAGATGAAACAGATAAATATATTAAAGATTTATTTAGTGATTTAACAGGACAAGTAAAAGAAGCTATTGGAAAAATGGAATGGTTCAAAAAATGGGGTGTGCATTTTTTGCCTAGTTTAACACGTAAGTTTATTTTGATATTTATTAATAAGAACTGTAACGAAAAAGATTCAAGACATGTGGATGTACCATTTATTATTGAAAATTATACTTTTCTTTTCTTCCCATTAGAAAAAACAATCTGAAATATTTTGAAATAGAATCATAGAAATAATAAGAAAAGAGATTGATTAAAATTATTTTCTTTAGGTGCACATCTTCTTCAATTTTGTAACAATTTTAAAGATCCAGGTGTTCAACATTACGGAAAGGGTTTACTTTTCTCACAAATACGAGATGAAATGGATGATATATTTTGTAGTTTACCAGCTCCAAAACGTACGGAGACTGATGCTACTATAGATATGTCAGTTTTTCATAATGCATCTGCTGGATGTTTTTATGGAGAATGTACTGTACGTCTTATGAATGGTTCTTTGAAATTAGTAAAAGATGTTCAACCTGATGATCGATTAGCACCACATGGTGGAATGGTAAAATTTGTTGTGAAAACAATATGTAAAAATCGAAAAGCTAAAATGGTTATAGTGAGTATCAATGAATTTATTTTTCACTAGATCATGAACATTAATCGTTTTATTATTTCAAAGGTTGAAAATAACTTAATTATTACTGCTTGGCATCCTATTCGCGCGAATCAACAATGGATTATGCCTTGTACACTTGTCTCATCACCCAATGAGATTTCTTGTGAAGCTGTATATAATTTTGCACTCGATCAAGGTCATACAGTATTAGTAAACGATGTTGAATGTGTCACTTTAGGTCATGGATTTCAAGAAGATATTGTACGTCATGCATATTATGGAAGTCAACGAGTAATTAAAGATTTAGAGAAGTTGAATATGCAACAAAAGAATGGAGGAATAATTGAAATTAGTGAGGAAATGTTACAACGTAAGAATAAAACTGGTCTTGTAAATGGATTACAGTGGCAAGAAATATTAGTTCAATGAACAAACAAAAAGACGTAATTTACTTATGACTAGTGATTTTTGGGAAACGCTCGTCTCATGTCAGACCAAATTTTATGAATTTTAATTTAAACATTATAAAACATTGATCGAAATAAAGCTAATATGATAAAGTACTTCATTACTAAATTGTCTGCATTTGATAGGCTAGCAGTTGCATCATGTTTCTTAATTGTAGGATGCGTAGTTATCTGCAAATTATTTTTAGTGACGCTCTCACATATTAATTTGCATTGTAGGCCAAGTGCATAGTGTTTGGTTTTCTGTTACTTGAGCTTTATGACGTGATTGATGGCATTGCCAGAATACAATGCAGCAAAAATCTAACGTAACTAATAATCAGTGGCGTCTATTCCACATCATGCAAGACTATCATTTTGGATAATTGAATTTACAGATAATATTTGCATTCACAATGTGTGGGGAGGTGTGAATTGTAACGAAGCTAAGATGTAAACCTCACGCCGATGTTCATACTTGAGCAGTGTTCAATGTTGCCACTCTTCAAATAAATGTTCATGATAAACAAACTTTGAAATATCATGATAGGGCGTGGAGTATAGGTGCTGAGGTGAATACGATGGTCCTAACATTACCATTCACACCCACACCCAAACCCACACCCTAAATGGACTATTATCCTGTTTAAGCTCTACAATGTAAAATGAGGAATAAACTTCGATTTGCATAAATAAGAACAGCTTTGACAATATTGGCAACAGCAGATAGATAGTTTAAGTCAAAGCAGATAATTTGAGGGGTTACTTCTTACATCAGTTATTATGAATAAGAATTTCCCATAATTATCTAAAAAGTATTTTAAAATAGTTGATAAGCTTAAATAAAATAGGAAAGGTAGAGGGAAGATAAAGTGTTGTAAAAAAGGTTTCCAACTTGGTTTTAAAAAGAACACCTGCAGAGTTCAAAATTTAATTGCATAGAAAAGAAGAAAAGAAATACTAATTTTTTTTCAAAGTAACTTCTCTCGGAGAAATACGATTGGCTATATCTATTCACTTTTTTAAGTTAAACAACACAGAAAACACAGCATTACACGTTTGCTTCTTTTTAACCAATCTTGAGACACCTTTCATCTGTAAATTGTTTGAAAAGACAGATGGTAGACATCAGCTCACGTTTTTTAAATAAAAAGAAAAAGAAATGCCTTTTGCAAGTTGTTTTTTCTACACTCATTAACAATTATTAGTGGGTTGTCTTTTAGTCATGTCTGAAAAGTTATATTTTAGGGTGTGGGATGTGGGTAGGGTGTGGGTGTGGGTGTGGGTGGGTGTGCGGTGTGAGGAGAAAAAATTCCAACCCACACCCCACATACACACCCATACCCACACCCACCCCACACCCCACACCCACCCACACATATCCACACCCACACCCTACCCACACTCACCCCACCCCACCCACACCCACACACCCACACACCCACACCCTATTTTCTTTTTGTCGTTAAGTTTATATCAATAAACACTTGTTTACACGTAAGTCATTCGAGTATTGTAAAGAAGAAACTATAATAAAACACTGAACCATCAACACAAGCGTTTCTTATGTCAACAAAGAAAAGAAAGAAAAACATGTATATAAGCAGGTAGCAGAATGAAAAGAAGAGAGTAATATTAGATGATCTTAATCAGCAGAACAGCAATTGATTTCAATATCTCAGCGAAAACGGTGGGAGTCGCTACGATATCGAGATACCATCTTGCGGCAAGAAACATTATTCATTGATAAATGATAGTTGATCGAATCGAAATAAATACATGTTTGTCAGAAAGAGAAAGAAAATTTATTGATTTCTCTGGTACATATAAAAACACAACTTTGAGCACATTGTCTTTAACATTATCCAACATGGAACAACCTCAATGAAAGTTTCAGAGATCATAACTTTTAGTTAAACAGGAAAAAACAACAACGTAATCAAATCATTTCTTGAATATTTTTTTATACATCGGAAAAGCAAAATATTATAGTAAACATATTTATATCGTTAACGTATCAAATCACATTATATTTGAAATCTTTCATTTTTCAATTAAATACAAACCGATAAGCACAAAAATATACTCAAGCAAGATTGAAAACATCTTTGCATATATATATTTGGTGTTAATAGGCATATATTGGTTCGATTTCCCATGCAATCATACGTCGAAAAACGCCACAGGTGTATTGACTGCCTCCACTTTCAAAATGAGACAAAAAAAGGAGAGAATCAAACCAACTTGTATGTTGTTTTTTTAAATTTTGTATTCAACCTCATAAATGTAAGACAGGAGAAAAGAGCAACCAATAAAAAATCCTTACGCGTGACACTTTATGAAAAGAAAGGAAAAAGAAATGTATTACAGAGGCTGTTGGTAGAGACATGAAACATGCTCGTCTACGTTTTATCGAAGTCATTCAAAAAAATGGAATAAAACAGAAAAATAAAAACATAAAATTCTTGTTTTTCAATGGCTATGAACATGGAAACGTCATTATACGAGGCTATTCGCAACGAGGTATCTTTGGATAAAATTTCAAACTTAATTAAGCAAGGTGTTGATTGCAATTTATCACATTTTGATTCATACAATTTCAAGTTTATTTCACCGATTAAGTTGGCTGCTGAAACAAGTGTTTATAAATATGGTTCACTACGTCTTCTTTATAAAAATCGTAATAGTCCAACGAAAATGCAAATTGAAAAACATTTAGCATTCTATTTCAATTCTTATGACTCATCAAATAACGAAAAAAATGATTTATTTTTTGAATTCACTATTTCTCGACTTCTTCATACACGTATTAGCCAATATACATCTGAAGAAATGGATGTTATTAATGTAGCCCTTTGGAATTACGATAAAGTATTATTACATGGACGAAAATTAAATATTGGATTGACGTATAATAAATTTCTTAAAGTACGTATCTATACGTTATTTCAATGGCTAGCCAAGATGAGAGCCGATACTTCATCGACACATAATTCTACAGAATATGCCATTATTGAAAATGAATTGTTACATCATTTAGAAGCCTATTATCTTCTATATGATATTCAACATATTCCTATAGAATTTACTAAAGATATGATGCAATCAAAGTTGAATAAGGAGAAATCATTTAGACTTCTTGTATTGGAATGCTACAGAGACATTGCAGAAAATATCATCAGGAAAATCAAAGAACTGCAACCAAAAGAAGAATATATAATTCCAACTGGTTGGGATGGTCATGCCGTTTGTATTACATTTAGACGAATCGATCAGACTCGTATCAGTATTCGTGTTGATAATCCTAGTCGGTTAAATCCACCAAATATGCACGAAACTGAACTCATTGCATCAAATGTCCATCGAATTCGATCGAAAATGTTGGGTGTATTAGATATTGCAAATTTAAATAAAAATATCAATTATTTTATGTTACTGGTCGATAGTATAAAACAAAATTTAGATGAAGAGACAGGTATTCGACTTCTTTATAATTTTGATCACAAGATAAAGGGTCTCGAACAAAACAATGATGAAGAAGTACCGACCATTGTTGAACAAGCGTCTACCAATTGTGTAGTGAAATGTTTCGAACCAGGTTTACGAATACGTTGTGGTCAAAAATACGAACGGCTTTGTGAAACACTACTTAAACAAGAAAAAAATACAGTCATTGAATTGATGGATAAGTGTAAAAACTACTGTAAAAATCCTGTTAATGATTTTCCGGATCGATTTGTTCTGTTTAGAAAAATAGATAAGATGAATATTTTGCCGGTTGCACCTAATTTTTCTCTTCATGAGAAATTAAAGTCGAGCTATAAACAACATTACCAATATATTTCAAATATGATTAATGAACAATCTTCACATGGATTAGAAGAAACATTCATTGATCTAAATTTTAAAGAACAAGAAAGATTCATTCGATTTGAAGATCTCTTTAGTAAACCTCGTATTCTTATACTTGGAGAAGCAGGTTCTGGCAAGACGACAATATGTCAGCATGCAGCCTATTCTTGGGCTTGTGGAACTTTATGGCAAAATCGGTTCGAATGGTTATTCTACATTAAAATGCGCAATTTAAATGAAAATATCTATCCATCAAGACAAGAAAAGTATGTATTAATAGATATTATTATCAATGAATGTTTCAAAGAATCCACATTTATCGAAATTGATCGACGCAAATTAGAATTTCAAATTGCACATTCATCAAAGATTCTTTGGATTCTAGATGGATGTGATGAACGAATTATTCCATCTCATTTAATTACTATCGAACGACAATTATTAAGTAAGCCAAATCTTCTTCTAACATCAAGACCATATGGAACACATAGTTGTCATTATGATATGAAAGTCAATGTACAAGGTTTTACAGATGATGATATTAAAGCTTACACCGAAAAATATTTTTCTTATCTTAAGCGTACTACTGCTAAAAACTATCACGAGTTCGTATTGAATTCACCTCAATTACAGAAAGTAGCACACATTCCTGTATGTCTTCAATTGATTTGTATTTTATGGGACAGTAATCAGACAAGAGGATTAAATATTATAAAAAAAGCAGGACAACTCTATGAGAAAATGTGTGAATATCTTTTACGAAGATATCTACTGAAATTTCATGGTTTATGTACATCTGCTTTAGCAAGTAAAGATGTCTTTGAACATTCAAGTGCAAAACCATATAGAATTTTAGAGTATTTAGCTTTCATAGCTGCACAATCAAACACATTTGCTATTAGTGGGGAACAAATTTCGAATATAACAGACCAATTATTTATGGATGTACTTCAAAGTGGTCTGCTCAAACAGAAATCAAAAGACCATTCTCCTGTACTTGTTGAGAACGTCTACTATTTTATTCATCGTAGTTTTCAAGAATATCTTTGTGCTCGTTATATGAGACGCGAATTAACATCGACCTGTGTAGAAAAACAAAAGGAAGTAATTAGATTTCTTGCTGATCACAAATATTTTCGTCGGATGCGACAAACATTTCAATTCTTCTTTGATTTGGATCGATCCGACGCATGCATGAAAGAATTTTGGTCTGCTATTGATCGCGAACCACGTGATTTAATTGGACTTCGTCATTTTTCTCGTATGATGCAATATTTTCTTGACGGAACTTGTGTACTTGAAACTGAGGATAAGACGAACATTCATAGGAGAACTATTGATGTTATCAAAAGATGGATATTGAACAAAGATCGTCGACCTCATGATTCTGCTAATTTTTATCTAGTCGAATGGTCGATTGACGTGATTAGTGAGCAGATTTGGCTGGATGCATTCAAAGAAGATCTCTTTATTGAGATTCCATCAAAACGACGTTATTTCATGCCTGAATTATGGTCAGAAAGAAATATTCATGAACTTAGAAATATCTATGGACAAATTCCAAAAGATGTATACAAAATATATGCTTTGATTAAGAATGGACCTATTGAGCGTGTTCTTAGATCTTTACAAATCGATACCAATACATTTCCACCACCGATTTTCCCAAAGCAGAAAAACATACCGAAATGGTTACAGGAAGTCCATAACAAAGCGAAAGGAAACGAAGCAATTATGACATTAGAAGAATTTCAGACAATTTTACATAATTATTCATCCTATGCTGAATTGAATCGTCGAGCAACGATACTTGATATACATACATGGCCACTTAAGATCGATCCATCTGCTCTAACCGATATTAGTCAAGAAACATTAAAACTTATTTTGCAATTATCTCAAGAGAATGCATTATTTTATCGTGATTTCAATTTACCAATTATTTCTTTTCTTGAACTCTATAAAAATTCAGATGATCATAATGAAACTCTTTGTTCACTCATTGTATCGATTGCACTTAACAGTACTTGTATTGTCACAGCATCACCTGAACGACAAACTTCAGTCCGTGTTATCGAGCACGAGGATTTTGTCGATATCGACCTGGATCTTATCCGTCGATCAAAATTACTATTAGAATTCTATAATATTCGACAGATTTATGGATATTCATATGATTGTTAGGAAAGAGAACTAAATTTCCATCTAACATTTCTACTAGCTAGTTTTCATTTAGATCGAAAAAGTTCAAAATGTGAATATGTGTGTTAATGCTTGGTTTATGAAGTCGATTGCACGCCCACGCGTAGACTCATATGGTGTGGTATGAAATAGAAAAGACTCAAACCTGTAGTACCGACTGTTCATCAATATTATATCTTTGCTATGACAGTCGTCATTTGTTCATAGAAGTTAAGAGTTAGTTTTCCTGATGCTCTAATATATTTATAATAGTCATGTATTTTTCTAAGAAAAAAAAACCTGTTGTAAAACCTAATGAATGAAGTACAAAAATATTTTTAAAAATGTTAACTTCCGGAAAATGCATATGATATTCTAAATGTTGAAATAAGCTATAACTGATTATAATGATGACATAGGAGTATTGCAAACGGTGAAACAGATGATCAATTGTTGTATCGATACGATTGACCAAGGCTTTTAAGAAAGTAATTTTCATACAGAATTGCTAATATTAGCATGTGATTTAGATTGATGTAGCCTATTGATTCATTATCAAATACTAAATGATAATGTGAATCGATTATTTTTAGTAGAAAAGGGTGGGTGTGAGTGTGGGTGTGGGCGGTGGTGTTATTAACTCTTGTATCGCTGTGCACATCCACACCCACAATATTCCAACGCATCTCGCAGCCAATAAAATATCAGTTCAGCAATGAAAGCCACACATACCATTCCTCAATTAGCCTTCTACAAATCTCTAACAAAGAAAACCGACAATATTCAAATAAAAACACGAGACCTCACAAGAATTCCCAATCCAATTTAAAAGGATTTTATCTTTTTCTTTTTTCCAAAACTCACATAGGTACCTACAATTTTATAACTTTATCTATATCAAACTTTTTCTCTTTCTCATTGTAAAAATTAACATGAGTGCCTTCTAATTTAGAAATTTATATAAATGAAACTTCTTTTTATTTTTCTAAAAAACAACATGAGAACATTCTAATTTACAAATCTGTACAAATGGGTGTGGGTGTGGGTGTGGGTGGGTGTGGGTGTGGGTGTGGGTGG